AGATGACAACAGGACCCGGTGGGTGAAGGACTTGGGGGCCTCTCTCTCATCAGCTGAAACAGTGTCTGACAAGAATCTGATGAGGTCACTGCAGTAAATATTTTCTCTTTTACAGAGCCAATCATCACTGAGGGATCTCCTGAATTTAAAGTTCTGGAGGATGCATGGACTGTAGTCTCCCTGGACAACCAAAGGTGTTTTCTTTCCTTTTAAGGTGTTGGGAAAGGGGAGATCAGAGGGACTGTGGGAAGCCGGGAGCTACCGCTTCGCTCCAGCTGTGCACGAGGAGCAGGGGGGTGCCGCACTGGCTTGTACAGCGCCCTGACCACCGCCACCCTGTTTTCAGGTCAGCCCAGTTCGAGCACACCGTTCTTATCACGTCGGGGGGTGTGAAGATCCTGACCAAGCTGCCTCACGAAGCCTGAGAAGTGGCCCCAAGGTCGTGGAAGCCGGGCACCATTATTCTCAGTTGCTATATCACTTTTAGATGAAAGGGGAGGGGCAGGTCGCAAAGGAACCTACCTGCCACAAGACTGTGGGAAGAAATGCTGTGACGGTTGGGGCACTGGAGAGAAAGCTGAAGCCTGGCAGCCCAGTGGCTCGGGAATGTCATCCCAGGCTCACCTCCCAGCACCTGAATGCGGCTAAAGAGGAAGCTGGATGCGTCCCTTAGGAATAAGAGGGACTTCTGGAGAAGCACAGTTCCCCTGTCTGTCTCTCGCCCAGACCTTGCCCCAGTAAAAACCTGTAAAACCCTCTGTGTGTCTTCGTTCCTTGCCTCTGACAATCACAAGAGGGCAAGGGAGGTGGTTAATTCTGTTTGAGTCTGAACTTTTTCACACTGCACACAAAAAAGAAAAACCTGAACCTGATAGCTGGAGTATTTTTAAAATGTGTTACCCATTGCCGTCCCACATTGGCCAGTCCTGGGGGTATTCGAGGTGCCAGCACCTGCGTCCACCCCAGCCCTTCCTTTGATCATTTCTTCTTCACTGCTCTGCCCTGAGAGTAGCCCCTGAAGGAGCACTGATTGCAAGCATTTTCCTGGGTATGCACCCTGGGCCTGGCCCTTCTGCAGGGTTTGTTCAGTACAGAAACAGGACTTTCCTGGTCTCCTGCAGTTCTTCCTTTGCTGGCAACACCCCTCCTGTGCCCGTCCAGAAATTGATGTGAGACCTTCCCACCCCTTTCCTGCCACCCCTACCCCCATCCACACACTGGACTGTTTGTTACACTAAAAATTTGAGCTGCTGTCCCACCCACCCAGATATGAACAGCATCTGGTCAGTTCACCCACCTAATCCTAAACTGACCTCCAGCATTGGCCTTGGGACTCCCTCCCTGGGGCTTCTAGAACTTCCAAGGTCAGGTATTATCCCAGGGCTGTGTGAGACAATGGCATGGCTGGCTCAGACCTGGCAGCTTTTACTCTGCTTCTATGGCTGGTGCTCCAACCCGCTTCAGGAGCAGAAACCCAGCAGGCCAGTTGCCATAGGCTCTTTCTGGCACAAAACAGCCCTTCCCTGGAGGGTGCTCTCCAGGACTTGCTCACCACTGGCTGAAGGATGGGAAATGGCTAGGCCTCTAGTAGTCCATGAAGGAAGGCAGTCCCTGGGTATGATTTTAGGAACAGGTTCAGTAAAGACACACCCGGGGCCAGTGGTTTCTGTAGCCCTTGTTGCTATTTAAGTGGGCTTTGCAAAGTTGCCCCTGGCTAAATACAATTTGGGCTCAAAGGTACTGAAGAAATGTGGGCACCTGTATTTTCCACAATTGATGGTGTCACCTGCACCAGGAGTTGACCACCTTTGTGACCCCAGAGTGATGAAAAAGATGGGAATAGGACAATGAGCAGGCTCACAAATGAGTGCCAGTGTTCCCTGAACTAGGGACTCAGTGGTCCCTAACTCTCCAGATCAGATTCTCTGTGCATCCAGCAATGTGGAGTTTTAGACAGGGTTTGGTTTTAGTGGGCCCAGGGAGACAGAGAAGAGGACGCAGTTTCAGTAACTCCTTGCAATTTACAAGATCATAGATAAACTTTTGAGGTGCTCCAGAGTTGGCTAGGCAGAGGCCCAGGGCCTGAGGCTCTTGCCCCAAAATAACTCCCTAGAGAGGAATAGGGCCCAGTTGGCCTTGTGAGATCTTTGCCAGAGAATGACTTCATTTCTGTCCTACAGCAATCAGATTGCAGCGATTAGCACAGTAGCTTTATCTGTAGATGAGTTTTCTCCAGGGTTCCTTAAGGATAGTTTTATTAAGATCATAGGATTTTACCAACCACTGTGGCAACATACTGCTCGTGCAGCAATTATTTTGAGGTGGAGGTATTTATCAGACAGACATATAATCCTATTTATTAAAGCGACTAACCTAAAGATTATTTTCTCCATCCAATACTGCCAATACTCAGCAGTAGGAAACAAACTTGAATTACGACACTGTTTAACTCATTATGATGTGGAACTTAGAAAGCAGGTTCTTCAGCACTTAGTCCATGCCTTCTTGCCCTTTCACCAGCTCATCTGACCTCAGACCTAACCCAGAGATGCAAGACTTCCAGCCAAGTATGGCTAAGACCACAACCAGTGTTGCCTGGTCCTAAGGTGATTCCAACCCATCCTAATCCTGAACGTTCAGAATGAATACAATTTTCTTTCCTCTGAGTTGGGACAGCACTTTAGAACAGGTGCGGCCTTAGAGGTGGGGCAGTGGGAGGGAGCCATTCATAGCTCATGTAGTAGGGATACCAAAATTGAGAATTCCGCGGCTGGATTCCGCGGCTGCACAGCGCCGGAGGGACCGGCTCTGCGCGTTTCAGTAAATCTGCTTCTTTCTAAGAAATGTCTGCAGTGTAGGCACACCTTCGCCTACACACAATTCAATTCTAAATTAAGCGTGCTCTCAAACCTTATCCCGAGGAAATGCACACCAGACCTTTGTTCTCTAAGCCAGCCAGGTCCCCTGTACCCCTGTGGAAGGACGAGCAGCTGGGAGACTCACGACTTGCAACCGTCTCTCTTCCCTTCCCCCACCTTGCAAATCTCTGGGCGAAACTGGCCCCTGGCAGCCAGACCGTCGGATTCCCTTACGCTCAGCCCAGAGCTACCCGAAAGACGCCGGTGCCACCTTCCCCGGTCCCAACCTCTACCCCGCGCTGGCCGCAGCGATCACTTACGTGGGCAGGGCCCGCAAGGCGCTCGCGACAGACCCGGGGCTCGGACAGCTTCCGAGCAGCTGTGCTGGGCGCACAGGACGCGGCACTCCACACCCTAAAACAGGCGCTAGAAAGGAGCAATTAAAACCACAAGTGCCTAACGTCTCCAGTTGTCTAGTGGCCGAGTCATCACCCGGTTGTTGCTACAAAGCCTCGCCGTGTGGTTCGGTGATTAAGAAAAAAAAAAAAAAATCTTTGAACCACTGGCAAAACCGTTATTGGTTTGGAAGATCGGGTTGTTTTGGGTGTTGTTGCTTTTTGTTTTTATCTTTTGCTCCAACCAGGTTGCGTGAAATATTTCTGCTCCCAGCATCGCGCCCTTAAAACCAAAGGAGAGAAATTCCGCCAAGCAGGCACTGCTGCTACAGAAGTTTAGAAAGCGAGAACCCCCTCTAATATCTGTACGACAGCACCGATGTAATTTGTTTTGAATGTTCATTTTTATTGGTGTTCCCTCTGCCAAAATGTGCTTGATTACAGAGGTTTGTCCTGTGATCACTGCACACTCCAGACAGGGGAAGGTGCAGCGGGAAGGTTCAGCTCAGGCCAGATCAAATCCCGGGCTGTTTAACGTTGAAAGGCTGCATGTTGCTATTAGTGTTAAATATATGGCTAATTATGCGTATGAAAATTAAACATCAGTGTTATGCTAATGGGGCGCCTTCAGCTGCGGATCTGAGCACTTGAGACTACCATTTAATCAAATGAATCAGTAACTAATACATCTGCACGTGTGAACTTTCACAAGATCATTTCCCCATTCCCTTTACACCGCTAAATTATGAAAGAAATAATTATCAACACTTTCTAATTACCTAACAAAGTAATTTGGGATTCACCGTGGGGCTGGCGGGATGGGGAACCAACAGCCCCTAGCAACCAGCGTAGCGTGCGCCACGCCTCGTGGGGGTCGCTGTGTGGTAGCAGTGTCGGGCGGGGGCCATTCGTGCGCTTTTCTGTACCTAGCACCCCAGAAGATAGAAGGCGCCTTGGCAGCTCGGTCATGCGCCAGCCCTGCCCCCAGGCCCGGCAGAGCCAGCTCTGGTCATTGGAGGTGAGGAAGAAACTGGGCGACAGAGACTTATCTATACACAGATAGTCTTGCCCACCACAGGCCTGGCATTGCTGCGGGTTTCGGTGTCCCCCAGGGGCTCCTGCACCCCAGGAACTCCCGCCAGACCCCAGGAGGGCGCAAAATCACCACCTGGCCCTGCCGCACAGATAGTACTGGGTCCGCGAGGCCCTGGGCTCCACGCTGTGCCGCGCCCTCGGGGCGAGTGCGCCCGGGGAGCAAGGCTCTGAGGGAGTGGAGAGGGGAGGGGGAGCGCAGGAAGGTTGGGAGGGAAAGAGGGTGTGTGTGTTGGGGGAGGGAGGCGGTGCGGCCGCCTTTCCTGGGAGGAGAAGCGCGGGCTCCTGGCTCTCCACGCGCACTGCTTTAATCAGACCCGTGCAGCCTCGAGCTGGAGTGGCCAACCCGGCCTAGAGCGATGCGAGCGGGGCCTTGGGAGAGGCGGCGGCGGCGGCGGCGCGGCGGCCGAGTGAGTGAGTTGGTCTGGAGGGCCCTGAAACCTCGGCCCAGGGATGTGGCGCCGCGGACTCGGGCCAGGGGGGCGCGCCCAGAAGGGCGCTGAGCTAGGCGCGGGACGTCCCGAAGGACCACTGTCCGCCGGCTGCTACGGGCGTCCTCCAGTGCGCGACTCCGCGATCCAGAGGCCGCGACCCGATCCACCCTAGCGGAGCACTGGCCTAGGTGGAGGCGACCAGAAGCCGTTCCCGGGTCCCCGGCGTTGGGGCGGGCCCAGGGTGGGGACGATAAAGGGGGGCAATGGCGGGGAGCACTGGTTGGTTTCTGGAGGGGAGAGCGCGCCAGGGAGGCGGGAGGCTGAAGAGCAGGCCTCCGAGGTCCCAGAGCGGACGCCGCAGCCCATTGTGCGTCCCGCACCTCGCGCTCTGTTGCAGAGGAGCCCCGGCCGGGAAGTACCGACGCGTCTCTCCCGAGGCCGGGCCGCCTCGCCCGCTCTAGTCCAGCGGAGCCGAAGCGTCTTGGACCAATCCCCGGTGATTATGCAAGACGGCGGACCAATCAGCTCCGCCAGCTCATGAATATTTATGACCTTGGCTGAGTCAAAGCTTTGAACCGAGTTTGGGGAGCTCGGAGCATGATGCTTAGACTTTTCAAAGAGACAAACTCCATTTTCTTATGAATGGAAAGTGAAAACCCCTTTTCCGCTTAAATTGGGTTCCTTCCTGTCCTGAGAAACATAGAGACCCCCAAAAGGGAAGCAGAGGAGAGAAAGACCCACACCCAGACCCCGCGAGAAGAGATGACCATGACCACCATGCCAGAAAGTCTCAACAGCCCCGTGTCGGGCAAGGCGGTGTTTATGGAGTTTGGGCCGCCCAACCAGCAAATGTCTCCTTCTCCCATGTCCCACGGGCATTACTCCATGCACTGTTTACACTCGGCGGGCCATACGCAACCCGACGGTGCCTACAGCTCGGCCTCGTCCTTCTCCCGACCACTGGGCTACCCCTACGTCAACTCGGTCAGCAGCCACGCGTCCAGCCCCTACATCAGTTCGGTGCAGTCCTACCCCGGCAGCGCCAGCCTCGCCCAGAGCCGCCTGGAGGACCCAGGTACGTGCGCTTGCCAGGGAGAGGAAGCGAGGGAAAGAAGGCGCGAGGAGGAACAGGAGAGGGAGAGAGGGAAGAGAGAGGAGCAGAGGGGCAGAGAGGTGTGGTGGGGGTGGGGAGGGCGCGGGAGCCGTGGAGGTTTCGGATATCAGCCTATGGATACCTGTCCTAGCAAAGGAAGATGGTTAGAAATCCACCCAATTCGCAACTATCTAGCAAAGGATAAATCCGAGAGAGCGTCTCCTGGCACTGGCTGGGCCTCTGAGCGGCTCGGTGTGCCGAGCACACAATGCCCTGCTGGAAAAAAGAAACCCACATGTGCACGTATTAGTCTCGGTAATTATTTATTGCGTAGCGCTATAAACAATGTATGCAATTAAGGGTAATTAAACCTCAACTACCGCCTGCAAAAAATAGCAAACTTTCCCTGCACAGGCAATAGCTGCGCTCCCAGGAATGGCCCCATCCCGCGGGACTGGCCCTTGGACTGGGGGTGGGGGTGGACTCCCAGACTTCCAGAGTTTCTCGAGCACTATTTTCGCGGTCCTGTCTCTGTCATCCCCTCAATAACCACTCGCTCTCGTCTGTCCACGCTAAAGGCAGCTTCTGTATTAACAAGGGCCCCACTTCTGCTGTCTCTGCAGGGGCGGACTCCGAGAAGAGCACGGTGGTGGAAGGCGGTGAAGTGCGCTTCAATGGCAAAGGGAAAAAGATTCGCAAACCCAGGACAATTTATTCCAGTTTGCAGTTGCAGGCTTTGAACCGGAGGTTCCAGCAAACTCAGTACTTGGCTCTGCCTGAGAGGGCGGAGCTCGCGGCCTCCTTGGGACTCACGCAGACTCAGGTACCACGCCGCTGCCTCTGCGCCAAGCAGGCTTCTGGCGGCCCGGCCTGAGCCTAGGGCTTCATTTCTGGCTCGCTGGGCCTCAGGGTCGGGGTGTCATTGTGTGCGTGTGGATGTGTGTCCACCCCTGCTCCTGGCGTCTCCCCTTGCTCGCGCTTGCTCTCTGCCCTAGCTCGGTCGCCGCTCTCTGTCCCCAGACCTGCTTGCCGACTGCTTCTCCGTCCCGTCCCTGGACATCTGGTTAGGGCTCAGGAAGGATTTCTCCAAAGGTTTTGTTTGGGAATTCAGAGGTCACACGTGCCCGAACAACTGGAACAATAGACGCGGGACTTAATCCCTCCTTTGCCTTTAAAGCCTGTGGCTACTCACAATGGGCTTGGCCCTGAGCCTCTGTCCCCCTCCTCCTCCTCCTCCTCCTCCTCCTCCTCTTCTTCTTCCCTACGGAGTGGCACAGGGAATCCTTCCCTCAGCCTCCTCACCTCCCAAGTCCCAAACCCTAGAGAAGAAACGAGATGCTCCTTTTGGCCACCTCAGCCTGCGGGGAGTTCGTGGGCCTTCGCGGCTGGCGCGGGTTTCCGACGTCTGGCCCGGGATTTGGACTGAACCTGGGGGAAGCAAACAGGCCCTAGGGAAAGGTTTGGTTTGAGTCCAAAGTTCAACAACAACAAAAAAACTTGCTGCCTCCTCGTCAGTCCTCAACTCACTCGGGGGCCTAAAGGATGGTGCAAAAAGAAAGCGGTAGAACTGCAAATAAATTTCCTCCACTCCTATCCAGGTTTTTGATTCTTTTATTGATAGTGATACAGGAATTGCGTGGGGGATTGCGGGTGCTCTGTCTCCCGCGGACGGTAGTCGGGGGTCGGCCTGAACGCGCAGGCCAAGCTCGGGACCCCCGCGAGCCTCTTGGCACCACGCCCCCTGGCTCCAGGAGAGCAGCTCCCGCGGGGGTCCGAGGCGGGCCCGCGGGCTTCCTGGCCCTTCCGCCGAGCCAGCGGGTAGGGGGTGCTCTGCTCTCCTGCGGGGAGCTGCCAGCTTGCGCTGGGCAGGGGGCCGCCACACTCTGCCCTCTCGCCGTTCCCTTCTCTCCCCAGAACTGGGTGGGCTCAGTGGCCTCAGCCCGAGTCACGTTGTTTTCCGATCTTGCAGGTCAAGATCTGGTTCCAGAACAAGCGCTCCAAGTTCAAGAAGCTGATGAAGCAGGGCGGAGCGGCCCTGGAGGGCAGCGCGCTGGCCAATGGCAGGGCCCTGTCCGCCGGCTCCCCACCCGTGCCTCCGGGCTGGAACCCTAACTCTTCCACCGGGAAAGGCTCGGGCAGCAGCGCGGGCTCCTACATCCCCAGCTATACGTCGTGGTATCCTTCAGCGCACCAAGAAGCTATGCAGCAGCCCCAACTTATGTGAAGTTGCCCGCTGGCACCTGCCCACTTCCTTCCCGTCTCCCTCAGTCCAGGCCCCTCCTGTCTCCAGGTCCCTGGATCCCAACTGTGTGCCCTGGGCCTGGTGGAAAAGGGCCTAGAGGGAAGGAAGGGACGGGGAAAAGGCAGGTCACTTGCCTCCTCAGAAGCCCTCGAGGTCCGCCCCAGCGACTCCCCAGAGCCGGTGCTCTTGCCTGATCCCTGGCCTGGGCCACTCAGGGTGACAGCAGAGTGGCCTTGAAGCGCAGGCATAGTCACCCAAGACAGTGAGCAGCAAGACAACCCGGCTCACCTGACCTGCCGCCCCTCAGCTTTGTGGGAGTATGAGGAAAACAGAACCATGTAGAAAAAGCAAAAGCGCTTTTCTGTCCTGTCTCGTCTCCTTTTGCGCTGTCCAGGTCTTCATCTGTCCGCTGTCCTCATGCTGAGGCCTCTGCGAAAAGTCACCAGGTCTGAGCCACAAGCGGTCTGCGGGCCGCCCATCTTCCCCATCCTGGACATCTTATCCTTTCAGGCCTCCTGGACCCTGCCTGACCATCTGTGTAGCTTACTTGGGAACTGGGGGAAGTTGGAGGGAGGGGGTTTTATTTATTGAAAAAATGGACTTTGGCTGAGGCTGAGTGTTGGTTCTGTGGTGTGCGGAGAGTACACCGTCCAGATGCACTGTTTTCCTTGAAGGCACCCGGAAAAAAAGAACAAGGACGACTAAGGATTTTTAACTTACACACGAACTTTTGTACTTCGCTGGTATGGAATTGTTGAAGCCGAATGATTTACATTTTTTACATGTCCTGTATTATTAAAAATAATACAAAGAGAAAGAGAAATGAAGCCAACAAAGTTTTGTCATCTTGAGAGGAACACTTGGTTGCTTTGCCTGGACAAGAAGGAAAAATTCTAGTTTGGGTAAAAAGAGAGGATCCATGAGCAACAGAGAGAAAATAGGCAGGGGACAAGCAAGCAGCCCTAACTCCTGTGGGCTTCAAAGTAAGACAAAAGCAGCTTTACAACAATCCTGGAGGTTCTACCACAGAAAAATGCCAGTCCACCCTGAAAGCACAGTCTCCATTGCAGGAGCTATTGGCTGTATATATAATTATTATTATTATTATTATTATTATTATTGTTCTGTAAACATGTTGCACAAGCTTAGCCTTTTTCCGTTCTGTTGTATGTGGCGGTAAAAACCCGATGCTTCGTGAAATGAGAATCTTGACATTTTACTTGTGAAGTTTGGAAAATGTGACCAATGGAAATCAACCGTGTTTTGTGTTCTCTATGTCAAAGTTTAGTTTTATATTGAGAATGTTAATTTATTGCTTTGTATCTTGGGAGGGGGGAAAGAACTTTGTAAATAAGTTATAAAGTTTCTTTGAGACAGTAAAATTATGGTTTCAAGAAAGAACTGCTGTCTCCTGTGCCCTATGTGTGTGGGGAGGCTGGTGGGCCAGGCTCCCACTCCCACCTCTGGTAAGGATAGCATTGGATTGGCTCCTGATCTGGGACAGATTAGGGGTGCCCAGCTCCACCACCAGGACACCATTGCAAGGCTTGTGTTGTGTCCCAGGGGGACTTCTCACCTTGTTCTCTCAGGCAGCGTGGCATGTGATGTCTACCTGAGCAGAAGAGCTGAGGAGACAGTGCCCAGAGAGAGTTAGGGAAGGCGGCTCTGGAACAGGTGTGTTCAGGGCAGCCAGGCTAAGGAGTGAGAGCACAGTGAGCATCTCTCTGAGCGGAAAGCGGAGTTCAGAGGTGGCCAGCCAGAAGTTTGGCGTTCTCTCTAGCACCTCTCAGGAAGCCTTGGCTGCAGAGACACCCTGCATTTCCCCTACCCTATCCCCAGATCTGGCCTCTCAGCTTTTGCTTGCCCGGAGGCACTGGATTCCTTGGTGGAAAAGACAAGGCCAGATGCCTGGCTGGGGCCGGAAGGACACGTCTGTCAGTCCACCCCCCAATCAATCAGTGAGCTGCAAGAGACAGGACCCATTCCCTGGGAGCCCTCCAGCCCCTCCACATCAAAAAAGACCTGTTCCTGCTATGGATCAGAGAATTTTCTTTGCACATCTAAAGGGGTGCCAAGGGAGTGGAGGAGGGGCCCAGCTGACGTGTTGGAAACGGGAGCTAGAGTTAAGCACATCCTTCCTCTCCAGCCCTAGTCCTGAAGCAGGAAGACTGTGGGGGCACCTCTTTTACAGTTGAGATGCAGTTAGCTCCAGAGAAGCGAGGGCTCTAAGAGACAACAACAACACTAACTCTTCTTTCCGCCAGTAACCTGCACCCCTAGCCCAAGCCCAGACCCCAGACCCCAGACCCCAGACCTTGAGCCAAGGAAGCTGCGGAAAGCTACGGGCAGCGACCGACCGGCAGCTTCCCGCACACCGCCTTCCGACGCTGCTGGGCGGGGGCTGGCCCTCCGCCTTTGGGGGGCCCTTTCCTGCGCGCGGTGGGGAGCATAGCCGGGAAGGCATTGATCTGTGTTGTGACAAGCACCCATTTTTCAATTGGTGCTGGTGAAAGATCAGATGCGCCGGGCTTTTTCGACGCCCTTTGGGAAGGGGAGGAGGCAGTGGCGGGCTGTGTGTGTGTGTGTGTGTGTGTGTGCGCGCGCGCGTGTGTGCGCGAGCAGGAGGGGGTGCGGTGTATTGGAAGAACCGGGGAGGTGGTGCAGAATGAAGCCAGGGACGTCTGCGCCCCTTTTGGGCTTGGAGTTGGGAGCTTTTCTTCTCCTAGGGCCTGACAAGCCCCTAGTGCTAAGGGAGATCAGACCTCGGGGACCAGGGTGCGAGTGGGCCAACTGCCTCAAAGCACACAAGGAGGCCCGGGGTGTAGCTCAGCTGCACAGCGCCTGTCTAGTAAGCGCCAGGTCCTGAGTTCGAATCCCCGCAACAAAACAAGACAAGACAAACCAGAGAAGGAGTCAGTTTCTGAGGTTATAGACTCAGGGATACAAAGAGGCACCTTCTTGGATTCGGTTTTTCCTTGGTACACTTGATTTTGTTAGGGAGCTTTCTCTTACCGTCTTTTCTGGGCCACCCAGAGGATTGCTAGGGCCTGAAGGCTCAAGCCACAAGCAAAATCTATCTGGTCAAGCTGATGTTAATATTTTGAGATATTAGCTTATACTAATTTAATAATCTCTTGCTAACAGTTCAAATAGAGAAATTATTAGTTTTAGCTCAAGGGAGGCGGTCTTTAGTTAGGCTCTATTATAATTATAAGCAGTTGTACTTTTAAAAAATGTTAATCTCAATATAGGCCTAATTAATGCTGCCTTGTTACTGACAAGTAGTTCATCAAATATCTGATTCAAAGATTTTCATAATGAGTATATTAATTAAACTATGAATAATCTAAAGGTGGTTATATTTAAACAATACCTCATTATAATGATTAAATACTGATTTCGAATATTATGTCTTAACAATTGTCACTTAGAAAACACAACCTTTCCTTATGTATGAGTCTGTAATGGCAAAATGCAATTTTGGGATTTTTTCCCCTTGTTCAAAAAATGTGAACCTCATTTTAAAACACTTCTGAAATAGGTTACACACAGCTTAATGATTATCAAAATGACTCTTTTCTGCAAAAAAAAGACCCCAAAGTGCGTGTACAGCTGCAAACCCAAGAGGGTCAGCATCATTTCACTGTATTCTCTTCTTGATTACAAGCCGGGCCCATCAAACACAACATAATTACAGTAATTTCAGGTTTATTTATTCTAATGCAGTTTCCCCATCTCTCTGGTAATTATGAGCAATTTTTTCGCCCAGGGAATCTTTTTGCATTAACAAAAGAGATAACGCACTGAAAGCCAAATTTGCTGTGCATTGAGAAAAGGAAAAAAAAAAAAAAAATCAAATAGGTGCGGGCTGCCATCTCTGCAATTCTCCGGTACCAGAGCCGGCAAATTGCTTGCAGGTGTATGGAGCAAGCTTGTCAATGGCCGGGCCTCCAAATTAGCAAATGCACAGCGGCGAAGTAATGAAGACAGACTTAGCAAAATTGCCAAACAACAGATACCTCTTTAATATCTTCTCTCACACACACTAGCTCTAAAAAGAGGTGGGGATGAAGAGGGGAGGGGCAGAATCTGTAGCCCCCAGCACCCTCCTCATGGGTCTTTCATAAGCCTGATGGGCTCCATGGCCCTCTGAGGGGGAACATCTGACAGTGGAAGAACCCAAATCCTAAACCGAGGCAATATTTTAAAAATATAAAAGTGGTCACATTTATTGTTCATCTCTTTCCCTCCTTGATCACTATATTTTATTTCTATTTCTGTCTTCTGGATATATGCACCTGTGCTAGGTTAAATAGTTCTTCAGATTTTTTGAGTCACAAAAAGTTTGAAAATCTACCTCACTTAGATGCACAAAAGTGTGAACATATTCATACAGAATCATTTGATGAAGAAATTAAATCTCCCTTTGAAGAAACTGTCCATTTCTATTACCCAAGGAAAGGTTGGTTTGGGTGCTAGGTACAGAACCTGAGATGCTAGATCCAGAAAAATTTGGAGAAAAGAAGCAAAGCCCCTTAAGTGTTTAACCCGGTATCCATCTCTTTGTTTCTGTATCTTTTATCAATCAATTTCAGAATTGTCTGGTCTTTGTCATCCCACCACCTGGGTTAAACACCCTTGAAATCTTAGGCTAAAGCGAACTTTTCTGCTCTTCATCACACAGGGCCATAGCAACCGCCACCAAACACAGTCCAAAGGGAAGAGTTTCTCCTTCCCATGCTTCAAAATAATCCTCCTCCTGTCCTCAGCCCCACAAAAACCCCAACATCAGTGCAAAGAGGCAAACGGCTCTGAAGAGTCCCTTACCCAGACTCAAGAAACGGATCAACCCCACCCACGTTTGCCTACTCCCTCCCTTATCCCCCAATCTTCAGGGATTAACACTTCCTGAAACATCAAGTGTTTTTATAAAAAAGAAAAAAATAATCCTGACATCGCTGACAAGAAGTTTTGATGGAAGAATTAGCTGGTGCATACATAATCACTCCCCCACCCTCCTACTCCCGGAGCGGGAGCCGCTGCGGCGGGCACAGCACAGCCTTCCAACCCTCTGAAAAATGAAACCAGTTTCCACCCTTACCTTCTTTAGTG